AAATTTATCCTTACATTCGTAAGGTAGAGAGATAACGCCTTGCGGACTAGTTGTCAGTGCGATAAGTTTCTCGGGATGCGCCTGCCAGGAATTAAATCTTAAAATCTTTATAGTCTGCATCCTATTACGCAGAATTAATATCTAGAGGAGGTTAAAGAAAACCGTTTACGGGCAACCGCATAAACTTTAATATGTCTTACGAGTATTAACGAAAGATAGGTTTAATTAAAAATAGTCCAATTCGATCCTTTATTGAATTCCTTACTTCTGAAAAGTCAACAACAACTCATATAATATTTAATTACGAATGAACCTTTTTTCAAAGCTTATTTGATAGGTGGTGGGTAACGAAAAACAACAACAATTAACTTTACAATTAACAGTGAAGTTGATGATGTGAAAAAGAAAACTTTAAAAGAAAAAAGTAGTTATGCATAACTTCTTTGTGCGCTTAAAATCTCAATTTAATGCATTTGCGACCACTAGCACAATACCCGCGAGCCCAGCTACCCCTAACGCGATCGTTAAAGAAGAGCGAGCGTCATCCTTGCCCTACGACGTAACTGGACGAATTATAAAACAACGTCGTCACAACTCAGCGCCCGATATGGAACTGCAACGTACTCGTTCATTGAAAGCAATACGAGTACGCAAAGTTTCGAAAGGTTCCTTAAAATCAGTAAGACGTGGTACAGTTTGCGTTACTGTTAGTACACACGCTTCATCGGTATTCTATAATACCGAAATTGAGGTAATTGTTGCCGCCATATGTTGTAAGCGTCTGACTGATACTGTTATACGCGATGTAATTACACATAATAATCATTTTAGGCGTTTAATTAAAAAAAAAAAAATTACAACAACAATAACATGAGCAATTTACGGTTATAACCACATCTGTGTAATTTTGTTGTATTTGTTGTTCCTTCTTTTTTTTTTTTTTTTTTTTTTTTTGTTTAAGAGCTAATCATAATTTGTGTTGTAATTATTGTTCACGCATACATAGACAGCGCACATATATAAATACATGTATATATATAGATTAGTGTGTGTTCGCTCATGCATCATTCATCACTTCACCTCTACTCAAATAATTTAATATTGTAATTGTTATGCTATTTGGATATGTGTATATGTACATATATATATATATATATATATATATATATATATATATATACATATATGTAAGTGTGCGTGTGTATATGTATGTCATAATCTCTGGAATTTTTTTTTGTAGAAAATTCTTGCATATAATAATAACGGTAATTTACTTGAAGACACTAAATGGCTACCAAACCGCACGCTGCTTTACGGCCAACTTGATCAACAATCCATCACTTAACAAAATAGATGATTTTCCACTTGTTTTACGCGGCATTTCTCACTCATACTTCTTCAAATACTTTATGTCGTCTTCTTTTATTTTCATGTCAAGAATTTCCATCCAACACACACAAACACACACACACACACAGAATACAGTTGTTTCATGTTTGTTTATATGTTTTGTTTAATCTATCTATCATCATCATCATTATCATGGTTGGTTTCCCCTTGACTTGACCATGAAAATTAATTCAATTATATCGGTATTTTGTTGTTGTAGTATTTGTGTGTGTTTGTTATCGTAATTATTAATTTTATTATTGCTATTGCGTTTCTTAACCTTGTTTTAATAGTTAATGTTGTACATTTTTGAAATGTTTTTATAGTCTGTTTTAATATTGAAATTCTTCATTTGCTGGGTAAATTCTCTTGGCCAACAATATATATTTTTTCAAACGATTTAACATTATTGTTAAAAAAAAAAAAAAAAAACTTGTTGTGAACTGAATGATTAATTTTTTAAAATATGTTATGTCGCTTAAGTCGCTTAAACTTTGGCTATGCATTTATGACTCAGTCAGTCAGTTGTTGTCATCATATTTTACATAATTTTAAATGATTTAGCAGAATTTTGCTTTAAATAGGACAAGTTTGCATAAAAGAATCAGAATTGTTCAAGAACACAACAAGGGTACCAACTAACGACGGAGGAGAACATCCGTCGAATTTTTTACTTTCAATTATTTGATTTTTTACGGAATGGAGTTATATTGCGTTTTGCCCCATCATCTTGTTAAAAACAATTCTTATCCCAAAAGTTTATCCTAAAAGTATGCTAAAAAAAAACAGTTTGCGTGGATACATGCTAGCTTTCTTAAAATGTGTTGTAGCAATTCTTGCATATGTTTTGATCATTTTTTCACTTGGAAAAAGCATTTAGTGAGAAAGGTTGGTGTAATATATTTTTATATTATATAAATGAAATATTTTCCATCATTTTCTACAACTTTTTCCCCTTTTTTCTGCCAATATGGCGATATCGTAATTGTGACTTTTTGCGTTTAGGAATGGCATAGCGGATCCACTTTACATTGCCAGTCACATTAGGCCAAAGCCTGGCATACAATGTTGACAGGGTTTCAAATGGTTTTTTTCAGTTACTTTGTGTGCTAGTAATTTTCCCTCCTTTTGGATATTTCCCATCGCATGTAAAGGTCTAAAAGCAGTCGTCGATTGTTCGAAAGCTGTTTCAGAGTTTAAGTAGTGTTTTCGTCTCAATTTTCGTCCGGCAATTCATTGTCTTCGAAATTTTTTTCATCTCCAGGCCGTTCTTTGTCATTGACATCAAACTAGTCACTTTTAATCAATTGAAACGATTGGGATATGATAGAGAAGCATCTAAAAGTGTTTCTTAAGCTACCGCAGCAAATATCTTCAAGTCAAACAGCAAAAGTAATGAACGTTGAAAATGCAGTTTTGAGCCTTCCATGACCAGCATCTGTGTAATACTTAAAGGAAAACTATTACTTTCTATAGAGAAAGATGTCAAAATCATTCAATTTAATCGATTTGTGTACTTTTATGATTGTCACCAACAGATGTAACCGATCAAAATACATGCAAACACCTATCATTATCTCTACTGCGTCCGCTTTTGTTGTCATATTGTTAGTAAAGAGCCACTACGAAAAATCTACATGATGATTCGAAATTACTGACAGGCGCATGTTCACTTATTCGTGTGCTTCGCGAAAATTTAGTTTGACGCCAGGAATACTGCCTTGACTAAAAAAGAATTTTGATCAATTTGCCTAAACTGCAAACATTATTGAAGCTTTCGTTGTATTTATAGGAAGAAAATAGGTAGTGCTCCACTAGAAACAACTTGCATAAAGAAGATTAGAAAGAACGTACAATTTCGCAACGTATTCTTAAAAAAAAATTATAGTCTAATCTAATTTGAACTAATCTATTTGACTATGGTTTTTGCGATAATCTCGATCGTAATTTGAATATGTTACTAGACAGCAAGTTTACGATCGAAAGATTTTTCATTCGATAGTAAGAACAGCACTTGTTCTAGCGACATCTTTAAATTCTTCATTCCTTGCTCGATTTCGATGACAATAAAAGGGGCTCTGGATGATGTTAAGCTAAGCGAAGAGACGGAAGACGGTACGGAATTTATTTCAAATTGTGTCCCAATATTTTGATTATAATCTCACTGTTGCTTTGTGTATTTAAGAAAATAGTACGGCTTTCAGGGTAAATGTACGTCAAGTATTGAACGAAATTGAATAGATAACGTCCTTGACAGTGAAATTTGGGAAACAAAAAAGTGGAATGGACATGAGTCTAATTTAAGAGTGCAATTGTCAGAGAATGGTGGCTGAGCGTAACGAGAATTTGCTACGCCCAGAAATATTTGTTGGTGGCATAGTTTCAATATATTTTAGGACGATGTGTAAAGATAAATGGAATTGGAGCGATATATATAGGCCACATTCTGAAAAATGACCAAGCGCCTTCATTTAAGTTCACGAACTGGCATTGGTTGGCTGACGGATGATTTTTTTTGTTTTGTTTAGTTGAGCTTCAGAATCTGGAGAAAACCGATTTTTCATGTAACGAAAGACACTTTATTAAAATTTTGGTACAGGTGCCGTTCTTTTCGCCTCTTTTTTGTTGGACTTTCTTTATTTCGTTCACTTCCCATTAGCTTTCCTTATATTGATACCTCTTCTCCGTCTTTTAATGGGAAACTTGTTTCCCGTTGTTCATGTAGAAGCACCTACGGAAAAAATTTATCTACGTATTTTTAATTGTAGAGAAATTACGAACAATTTTGGGAGAACAAAAATCTGGACAGACTAATATTTTTATCATTTGAGGAAGATAATTAAGCAAGTTTACTGATTCATGCAAGCTTTGTAACGAGTCGAGCGAAATATTTTATGATATATTAATACGCGGCCATCTCCGATAGGCGACACTAGGTGTTTGGTGAATACGTGATAACGCTAGGTACAATATTGTGCTCCCAACCAAAGAATAAGGCGGGCATGATAAGAGCTTTCAAGCTGGCGCGCTAGGGGCATGGATCGTTTCCACATTGTACGCATTGTTCATATAGTTTAATACAACAGGAAACAAATGATATGTTATGTGAGATGCGCAACAAAGTCCTCGTTTACCTTTTTCTTCTCTTAACCGGTTTTTATTTCATGTATTTTACATTGAAATCTACCGAGTACTAAGTTCCTCAAGAATTCATTTATCACACTGTATGTCTTACATAGATGAAATGAAAAAGCAAAAGAGAATTAACAATAAGGATGGATGGATAATACGATTGGTTTGTAAGGTTGGAATTGCTTTAAGCAACAATTAGAGTTACCAACTGTACTAACTATGTACAGCAAGGAGTCTTACGATCCACATCTCAAACTTTTGTCATTTCGTTTTCTAACAAGCAGATACACACATCATAGTATTATAACTTATAGATGATATTAGGAATTTTATCCCTCCATTTATTTATATATCTAAATTTTATGCTTAAATATATCTAAAAAATGTTATGTAACTAGTAGAGTTCTATTAGCTTGAATTCTTTTAAATAAGTGACTTGTTTATTATATAACGAAAATAAATGCATATTTTCTTTTTAGGGCGATTATATAAAACATCCTGTGTTATATGAGTTAAGCCACAAATATGGTTTCACGGATAATTTACCGGAAAGTGCTTTACCAGATCGTCTCGAAGAGATTAAGGAGGCGATACGACGTGAAATACGTAAAGAATTGAAGATAAAGGAAGGCGCTGAAAAATTGCGTGAAGTTGCCAAAGATCGTCGTTCATTGAACGATGTTGCCACCATTGTGAAGAAGAGTAACAGTAAAATTGCGGAATTAAAATCTGAATTGCAAGAGCTCGAATCACAAATACTCTTAACACAGGGGAATACGGCGGTGACTAATAATGGCAGAGGTAGGTGACAAAAACAAAAAAAAAAAAAACAACAAAAAATAACATGTATTTATATAAAAGTAAAAAAAAATTTTCACACACTACAACTTGCAATAAAACATAATACAGTGAAGTACAAAACAAAAAAAAGAAGAAAATTAGTTATAACTTGAGACAAAAATTTGGTCGTTCAATTGTAAACTGGTTATCATTTTCAGAAATAACGAAATAAGAGCGATATGTACCCGCTATCAGAGCGTAAGGAAAAGGAGATAAATTCAAGTTTCTATTACTCCGTCCGTTACACCTTTTTGACAGAGGATCAGTGAGAATCTGATTAAATCGTATTTGTTTGTTTATCTGGCCAAGGAGTTCTCATAGGAGGAGGTCGTATAAGTTATGAAAGAGGCATGAAACGCATAGCAAATATACGTGCGTGGCGGGGCATATATGTTTTTACGAATGGAAGATCGTAATGAGTGTCTTCCAGACGCCTGGAATGAAAACATACCATTCACTGATATATCTTAGCTTTCCCCTTTTATATATCAAATTAATGGATTAAAATCAGCCCTGGCCCACGATTAAACCCCCTGTACCGTTTCGCGTAATACAATTGTTCTCTTCGTTCCCCTCACAAAATATCTCAAATTACAGTTTGTTCTTATATCGGAATTGCCTTCTAGAGAGGATCCTTATACGGAGAGGGACTCTAGTATAGATCTATGTAATCCACTGTTGCCACAGTTATCATCAAAAATAATAAATACTAAACCATATAAAGCTGGGAAGGCCGATCCCATGACATGCAAATTTTTATGCATCCACTTAATAGTAAGCAATAACGCTACTGGTCACCGAATTTTGTGGCGAAATCTTAATAATCGCAGGTTTTTTGAATATAGCGTCCCTCCAAAATAGTGCTGTGTATTAGATTAGAGCTTAAATGTAATCGGATCTGTCCAACTTCAATAGGATTCATGCGTGGCTCAACTTCTTCAAAATATCTCGAAATTTGCTCACCTGTAGTTTGAAAGTAACAGTATGCAGATGTATGGATACTAACTTGATTCAGGAGAGAGTTTTGCATCCATTGATGTAATAAAAAAGTAGAGCCTATCTTAGCTTCTTCACACTGCTGCATTCATTCATTCGAAGGAACTTGTTATGATCTGGCACAACTTTAGTGTGCAGCGTATAAAAATTCTTATGTATTTTGTTGATGTTGTGGGCGTGGGCGCATTAATTGATTGAGTGACACTTAATGTCGTTATATAATTTTAGGAAATATTCGTGCCAAGTCTTATATCTAGTTTGGAAGTTTAGTATATATATTGGAGGTTTCTCGCATATTAGCAAGTTCGTAATTGGTTTATGTCATTTCTGACCGAAATTTGAAATTGTCTTCGTAAACGTTTGCGGCAAGTTTTAAATCAATGTGCGATATGAACTTCGTTTAAATTATTGTGCCTGTCAAGCGCGGTTGCAGGCAGAAGGATCGCGTCCATTCGATATCGATTGCAGATTTCAGCTATTGGGTGACTAGCGGGCAGCTAGCGTTCCTCCATCAAACGGGCATGCTCTGTGCGCGTGGGAGCGTGAGAGCGTATATATATGTATTAGGTTCCCCTATCAATCTAACAGTTGCATTTTGGAGTTGCTTTCGAGGAAATTGGTTTAGTGTCAGGTCTCCTGCTTCTACTCCTGTCAACCCAAAGAGCGGTAAAGGTGAACAATTGGTCCACAGTTACCATTTTGCCATCTAAATTTTCCTATCATTGTCTTCGGACGTGATTTAAATTGGTCCAAGAGCGCACCCGGAATTATCGAGAACACACGCTTATACGGTTCTCGAAGTTCTACCAAATTTTATAATTCTTCGTAACGATAAAACACAAACTAGTCGTGCGTAATGAAAGACTCGGTCCGAATTAACTAAAAAACAAAATATTCTCTTCATTTTTAGTTTGTTTTGTTTTCAGATGATTATGGGCAGATACTTCATTCCAAATAGGAATTTTTTTTTTTTTCTTATACTACTTGAATTACTGGAATTTCAGTCAAGTGTTACAATTTGCTCAAGTTGCTGAATGAGTGACAGTTGATTGATGTCAATAAAAAGCGTTAAAGATGTAATTATGAAACAATTGTTTGCTTTATTTTTACTTGAGAGAAAGTAGCCTATGCTAGTCAGTATATTTTATGCAGAGAACAAAAGCTACGCTCTTACTTAAAAGATTGGACAGACATAGCAGACACTTATCAAGAATATTTTTCAAAATGTGTTGCGGCATATTGGCTAAGACAAATCCGCGAATTATATATATATCTGATTAAAATAGAATTCTGGGCTCAGACGGCCAAACGCACGTCCTTCCGTCTGCCATCTCTTGTGGAAACATGTAAGTCGCATTAACCGAGATTCGAAGCAGAAAAGTAGCGAAACATCTAAAAGTCGTATACTACTGATTCACCCTTTACTCATCTATTCCCCCTAGGGGATGTATCTATCGCAATTGCATGTTCGTCTTACCTTGTAAGAGCGCAGACAGTTGACAGTAATTCAATTCTTTCTGTAAGTAATTAAAAATTGATTCGAATCAGTGATGCAATCAAGAATATTTCGAGTATATTTTTTACCAAAGATGTAAGCTTCAATTGTAAAATAAGTTTAGAAAAGAAACAGATTGCATTCCACTTCAAGTTTTATAGTTTTGTTGCGATTCGGTGTTGAAATGCAATCGACTCCTGTCGACTGCGATCAACCTGTTGATTATCCCTAATTTAAACTCTATATGGTAAAGACGCGAAAGTGTTAAAAAAACGAATACAACATAAACAATGCATTGATATGTGGGTTATTGGCTATACGAATAAAAATTGCGTGAGAGATATGGTATGGTATGTGTTTTAGTTTTTGGTGAGCACCAACAGCTGCAGTTATTATTTTTGTTGTAAATAAAGTTGCGACGGCAAGTTGTTATGCTTACTATCCAAGTTTGAGGGTATACTGTTTGTTTTTCCGTTTGTCACAAAGTACATGTGAGGACTTCTGATTAGCTAATCACGGTGGGCCGACTTAGCCCTGTTCATATCTCTGTCTCCATATCTTCTAATATTGGAGGCTGCGTAGAAGTTCAAATTGAGACTAAGCCCAGTGCACTTATTTGGTGGTCGCAGAGAAAGTTTATTAATGGATTTAATTCCTGGGAAAGAATGCGTACAAGAACGCGCATAATATACAATCTGTAGAATATATTTATCTAAAACCTAAAGTAAATATTTATCCGGACCATGTCAGACTTTTATGAAATTTCGAGAATGAATTAGTCTGTCATCATCCCACATTAAGCAAAAAACCCTTAACGCTAGTGAAGATGTTTCAAAGTGGCATAGGACACCGTAATGGGAACCAAATTCTAGTTTCTAAGACCAGATCAGTGTAAACTGTTTTAATCAAATAACTGGCATAGGGCCACATTGTTAACATGATTTCAAGAAGACACTCGAAGTGATTCGCTCGTGGCAAAGTTCTTACGACCTATTAGAAATTTTGAACTAAAACCTGCCACAACTATTTCTTACGGCCACTAAAAGGGTGATTGTAAACTGTTTGGATCGAATATTGGACATCCTCATCCAATTGGCAGGCCTCGACTTTTAATATACGAGAAATTTTTAACTTAAACTTAGAGTAACTACTTTATAGGGCCATGTAAAGGGTAAGTATTAGTAGTTTTGATCGAATGTTCGACATACTCACCTCAATGGGACGCTACATCACGTTTTAGAAAAAAGATTCTTAACTTGGGACCCACATGAAATTTTGACCTAAGACGTGGCACATGTATTTAAAAGGCTGAGTACAAAAAGTTTCGATCGAATAATTGATTTGCTCGCGGAGTTAACAGACCTTAATAGGACCCTACATCCCGTTCTAGAAAAAAGATTCCCAGCTTACGACTCAAAAGAATTTTTGAACTAAAATTTGTTGCAGATGTCTTTTAGGGCCACTTAAAAGGTCGAAACGAGAAAGTTGCGATCGACCAAATAAGGCGACCACCGTTACTAAAAACCCTTTATTTTTTCGTATATAGTGCTGGGAGTTACAAGATTCGTCTTAAGGCGAATGCAATTGTGTCGATTGTCTTTTTTTTTTTTATCGTTTTTCATCATATGCTTTTGCGTGTGAGCGTGCAAGCATCGTGTGAATATATATACACACTCCATGTATACATTTGTTATTGTTCACAGCTTCAACAATTCATTTAGAATTGCATCATAACATCACCATAGCATTATAGAAATGGGAAAACATGTCAAAGAAATTGTTTGCCAACGTGTATATGTAAATGCATGTGTGTGCATGTGTAAAGTGTGTATGTTGGTTATTGCTTCTGTTTATTATACCGGAAATAGTACTAAACATATAAAGGGAGCATCTGAAAGCACTTAAGCATACGAACAATGACATATATATATATATATATCGTACATATCATGGGCGAATGTTCGTTTGTTCGTTCGCACTTTCTTTCGTTCGATGACAATGTCCCCATAATTGAAACTGCATTGACAAGGAAATTCACAGCCACATATGAAATATACAGAGAGCGGAGGCGGCGTACTTCTGCTTGATTTATATCGAAAGCATTTATTGACTTTTCAAACGCTCATGCCGAACGAATCTGCTACATCGTCTCTATGTCGCCTTAATTGTTTTTTAAATAATAAATGAAAATAAAAGAAAAGCTTTTTAAATTTGTAAAAAAAATTTAATTAAAATTTGTATTTGTATTCGTTCACCTTTACAGATATCCTCCTGCCGAATGCACTCTCACAAGGCAGCCTGGGGAGCAATTCACAGTCAAGTGATCGTAATAATGGGGGCAGCGGTGATGGTCTCATATCGGGCGGCCACGAACAGCTTAGTGCCAACGATAAGCTAATGTTATCATTGGAAAAACAACTAAATATTGAGATGAAAGTTAAGAATGGCGCTGAGAATATGATACAATCATTGCAAAGCGGTCATTATGGACGTGATAAGAAACTGTTGGCGGAAGCTCAACAAATGTTAACCGATTCGAAAGCGAAAATTGAATTCTTACGTTTGCGCATCTTAAAAGTCAAGCAGAACAAGGAACATGCAAACAAGCTGGCAGCTCAGATTGTCGCAAATGCCGAAGAGAATGGTGGCAGCGGAGTTGGAGGTGTTGGCGGCTTAATGCCGCAACGTTTGGAGACATCATTGGAAGAACGCATCGAAGAGTTGAGGCATCGTTTACGCATCGAAGCAGCTGTAGTGGACGGAGCTAAAAATGTGATACGTATTTTACAGAATAATAAAGTACCGGATAAGAAAGCGTTACAAGAGGTAAGCGTAACTTAACCATAAAACAAAAAAACAATTTACATTTGGAGAAAATATTTTTGGCTTGTGAGATACGATTAAATGGAAAAATGCAAAAAAAAGTCTATCGCTACTATCGAGTGGAATAGAACATCCAGCCTCTCCAGTAGAATAAGATAAGACATTGCAGTATGAGAGTGGATGAGATCTATGGTAAACATTAGCCTTTTACAGAATTGCGCAACTTTAGCGAGTATTACGCCCTAAAAGCCTCAGCAGCAATAATGATGGTTACTGTTTTTTTGTTGTACTCTCCCGGAATATTATATGCGACTCATGCTAATGGTAAGTAGGCATAACAGCATGACAGCACATTTAGCAGTGCCTTCGAAAAGGTGTGCATCTACGGTTGTTGTTTGAGTAAAGGTCACAAGTTAGGGATAGTCCGCCACTTATAATGTTGAGAAGATGTCGTTATGGAACATATACTTAGCTTTACCTCCTACATTTACTATATTTATCTTTAAGAAATAACGTCGCTTGAGCTCATTTCATCTTTCTTCATAAAAAGCTTCTAAAACTCTATAATAAATCGTTCTCTACATGATCTCGGCTTTGGGATGACAATGCCATAGATAACCTACTTGTGCCAAAGTGAGCTAATTCGGACTCGCAGTCATTCGGAAGCTGAACTTCATATAAACTCAAGTCTCATCGACAGTTAACAAATTATTTAGTAAATCCATGCGAAGGGAAATGTTGGGCATAGCGTTTATGGCTAAGTGAATCAAGTATGACATATCTGCTCCGGCAGTGTTGGATCGCGTCTCATTTAATCTTTCGTCTAGGGTTCTAAGGCGGTACTTTTCTGCGAGATTCACGCAGTGCCGGACCAATTGTTTTCGGTGTAATTCCTTTCGGGTCTTATGTGTAGTGTGCATTAGAACACTTTAGACCCATTTTTCATTTCCTAAGACTTCCGGGGACTTTGAGAAATATTAAATTATATGAATATTGTTTTGTTATGCAATGCATTAGTGTTGACGCCTGATCAATTGATACATATTTCTTTATAATGAAGTTGTTTTTTACATTAAATTATAATTTTAATCGTAACGTCAGCTGGTAGGAGAACATTGTGTAGCTAGCAATATTAAATAAATATTTGCAAAAATCGATTGAATGGCAATAATGTCATTCATGCCAGTGCAACCACTGGACTAACACTCCTGTTTGGTGCAGACGGTTACGTGCTACTTCTTGTATAGATACGGCTATCAGACAAATACTAAAGATTCATTGTTCAATTCAAGTATTTACCTGTTGAGGACGGCCGCACACAAGCATTTGTCAATGAAAAATGGGGAACTCTATGCTCAGAGTAAGTAATTAGTGCATTATACCCGTAGTACTTTAAGGCATCTTTGCTTATTTTTGCTGACTTACCCTCTTCACTCCCTTACTGGTTGTTGTCATTCACTGGTTAGGTGAGATGACTTGGTTGATTTCACTTTCTACTTTGCTCTTGAATCCTCGATCCCGTGAAAACTGCATTCACCTCGGACGAAGAGTTAGTGGACCACGATTAAAAAAGAAGAGAAAACATGGGAAAGTTTCTTATCATTACATAGGATTCAAGGATCCCCCGGACAATCAATATCGTTTGCTATCGAACGGTGAACTTGCGATTATCTGTATCCTTCGCCTTGACCTAACTGAAATTTGATACCGCTGTCGAATCTCTATACCCAAAATTTGATCAAATTTACATACACCTGATGAGGGAGATCCGAAAAAAAAATAGGAAAGTTTCTTAGGATTATCACGATATAAGATTTAGGGGTTTTCCGTTTATCCTCCAGTTAGTCAATATCGTTTGCTGCCGAATGATGAAACCTCCCATTTTCTGTATTCTTCGCGTTTACCTAACTCAAATTTTATATCATTGTCGAATTTCTATTCTGCTCAAATTTACATACACTTGCTGAGGTAGGTTCGAAAAAAAAAGCAAAGGCAGATTTAACGAAAAAAAATGTTTATATTATTTCCAATAAGTAACAGATTTTCTGAAAAGTGAATTAAAATTATGAAGAATTTTATAGTAATAAAAAGTTTCTCATTAAAATTGATTTCATGTTGCGGTTGCGATTCGCAATATACGTTATTGACGATAATGTAAGAACACACCAAACACACATCAACCAATTAATAAAATAACTAAACACATTCATAAAATGATTACTTTGAAAATTATAGAAAAAACAGAACAATGAATGAACGAGGGAGAGCAGACCCGTTGCTGGTCTGTCCGCTGTTTAAGAGTTTCTCTTCAAGACATGAAAACGATTTGACAAATGTTTCCTGAAACGAGTGAATTTACTATTTTTTATTTACGTTACTGTCGATCTCAAAACGCCAGTTCTTACCGTGTATTGCATGCTTACGAGCGTTTGCGTCGTCCACGATAGAAATTTCGTCTATAAATCTGTCTAGTATCAGTTCTTACTCTGCAGCGATTGCCGCCTGAATGGCTGAGCATTTGCGCTTGATTATTATTAGTGAAGATATTTTGCATTATTTGGAAGATTGAGTTATGGAAATTGCTGCTAAAATCATGAGTTGGAATAAGCGGCATATATGGAATACAATTTGTTGCTGTTCTTAGATCAGGTTGTGCCAGAAAATGAGTTTTACATATTTTCTGCAAACAATAATACTTCATAGGAAGGCTCAAACTAGGATCAAGCAATAGTTGGCCAAGTTCGCGAAATCCTCGCGATTGATTGCAATTCAAATCGAACGTTATGGACGAGAGTTTAGGATAAGGATTGGTTTGAATTGTTTGAATGACCGCATCCTTGACTTTAGGGATATCTGTTTGCGTAGCTGTTGTGGCAAAAATCTTTTCATTCTTAACTCGATTTGTAGCTGATGGTGGGAAACTAACGCTCCGAAAGCCAAGCTGCTCCTGTTCAGATAGATTGTTTTCAACATTCTTTTTAGAATTTTCTGTGCTCTCCGCTTTGATACCGTGATAAGTGATAGCGATTTCAGGGATGTCTTGTAACAAATCCTCCAACAATGCATTTGCATTGTGGTCAGCATCGTCAAGGACTGTAAATGAATTTTATAGAGTGTATATGTTCAGGTAAAGCTTAACATTTTATTCAGAAATTACCTGATAATTTCGTATTACAAGCTGACGATGTATTCTCAGCACGTTGTGTCGAACTCGCCGGGTTATTGAAGAAGGAATTCATTTTTTTTATTTAATATGTTTGATTAACTTTTGGGAAAAACTTTTCCACCACTTTTATTGCATTAATTTGTTTTGAATAAGAAAAATTTGAAAATATTTCTTTTGAGATATTTTTCAAAGCCTCCTTAGATACTCTCATCGACTAGCATAATAAAGCGCAGTAATTATTTGGTGTATATTCCCCGCTTAAGTTATGTAGTAAGTATTACGTAACAAGTAATAGATTAAAACCGACTATTAAATACTACTCTAACTTTCATGTTTACCTTCAAAATATCGAAAATTTTATCATATTCCTATGTAAGGTATACCTTTCATAGAAAAATGATTCCCAAACTGGAACTGATGCGTTCTAAGTTTAGTGCATTTACATTTCTTTTGACGAGGAACTTATTGCGCTTCAAGAATTTCATTACAAAACACACAAAGACACAAGACAGTTTCGCCGGTCACAGTTCACATCCCATTCCGGTAGTGTTTACTTTGCTCATTGCTATAGAACTCAGTTGGTAGAGGCGCAGCATTTGCCGATTGCGCACAAATCCACTAGGCTGCGACCTCGATCGCCCTAATTCTATCCGCATACTGACGTCTTTCTAACTGGTACCGTGTTACCACTCGTATGAGGGGTTTCCTCCGAGCGATTGGTGATTGCTAAAATAATACGTTTCGAAGAAGCACGATAATCAAATATGGCTCCCTCCTACTCCTTTGGTCACCAAATGTAAACAAAAGCAAACAAACTGGACTGTAATTAACAATACTTTTGACTAAGTTCTCCGTTACTATATACAAGCCGCAATAACTCGGCGTTCAAGATGCTGCAAAAGCGTTAATATAAAAATTCTCTTCGATCAAATATGATAAACTCCTATGAAATATATCACTCGCGCTCGTTTTTTCACCGAATGCAAATAAGATGTCAAAATTATCGGCAGTCGGCAAATTGCCGAAGGTGTCAGGTGTGTTGGTTAGATAACAAGAAATATTAGTAACGTTTAGGATGCTGGGGAAGATGTAGTTTGCAAGTTCTTGTTGCATTTTGACCATAGCACACGAATATTCTGTACTTGTTGCCAGATGACGTTTTTTAAAAGACTTATTGGAATACTCAAGTGTCTTACTTGCGAAATCTCAGATCTTCTTCAACTATTTTCTCAAACCTTTCGTCAAATATGCACATACTTGTGGGAAGTTGAATGAAAACTTAAGTGAGAAACAATTTCTCAAGAGCCTAGGAAGCCCCCAGGTATTTGCATAATTATAAAAAATATTCTTGAGATGTATTTGTATATGAAATATATTTGAACGATTAGCACTAATGTTAGTTTAGTAAATAAAAGAAAAATGCTTGTCATACTATCTAGAAAGTGTAGAATAAGCCAAGCTTATCTTATCTGGAACATATTTAAATTAATCAATAAGCATAAATACTTTAAAATGAAAAATATCTCCTTTCTTTTCGTGTATTTTAATATTAAAACTTTGTTAGCTCCCTTTACTCCATTGCTATGGGTATTGCCTATGTAACTTACGTTTCATTTCGTTTGGAATTATTTACCATAAGTATGACCTATATTTACATACGAATCTCTCTGCATATGCCCGTAAATATCATCAGCTTCAGTTATGGAGGCTTTAAACCGCAAATGCATCAGCCGTCGTCGTGCATCTGTGTTTTGCCTCTTTGCAGTTTTCCTCTTTATTTTCTCATTTCGCCCATATGTGGGCCAACTATTATATGTTGTTTCAAACAGCCAAACGG